CTCGGTGGATAGATGTAGAAGAATCTTTGCATTCTAAGATGTCGCTCAAGCACGTGTATACTAGTCTACCTAACTAAATAGTTCATATACGTAGTAACTAGTTATGTAGATTTTATTGCACAATTGAAGAAATGCCCCTAACTATTCCTTTTTGGGATTAGTAGGGAAACCCCCAAATCCTAACTGCCGGGCTCCGCAGTGCCGTGCAGTTATACCCTATGGCCTATTAAGCGTGCTATGATGACCGTTCTTTAAGAAACTGGACAGCCGATGATTTGTCTTTTCCACTAGGATGGTCTCTCGCGTAGCATACTTTCGGGGTTGGTGCTATCTTAGAATGTCTACTCCGTGGGCTGTGTTCCGTACATCCCTGAACCAGGAAGTCTAGGTAACGAGGCTTAATTTGCCCAAGAGATTGCATATGCATAAGTATGCATAAGTATGCAGATGATAAGATGATATGATCTAATATGTATGAGAGGAAGAACTTCGCACAGAATGTGATATGATCAAGGGTGCAATATAGTGCAATTAGGGTTTTGCCTCTAATACACTTCTCCTACGTCCTACAATATATATAGTAACAGAACTCCGTACGGAGTACAAAGTACGGAGCAGGGAGTATCACAAATTGAAAGAGATCGGAGATCCCCATGTGGGCCAACAATGCAGAAACCTCACTGGTCTCTCAGCTTTGGCCCGGCTGTTTCACCATCTTCGGGGCCCTTGACTCGATTTGGTCATCGGTCCTCTCAAGGGGGAGGGTCACCCTTTTTAACCTGCAACCTGCCTTACGCGTCCTCCCAAGAAAAAACCCATTCCTCTCTCCGTTTTGCCCCTATAAGATTTGCGGCGTTTTTAATTTTTAATTTTTTAATTGATTTCAGCTGAGGGAGAAGAGGAAGGTGGTATTCACTGATTTCTAGTTGGCGTTCTCCGATGGCGCAGAGGGCGTTTCCCCCTTCTCGATGGGCTTGGATTTCTCCCTCCCTACGGCACCTCTGAAGAGCGTTGAAGCCACCAAAGGCTTCTCCGGTCCCAAAAAGGGACCAATGTCCGAGGACTTATTACTATATTGTACTAATCATGGAGACAATGCCCCGGTTCGCACGAATATGGCCTCTCGTGTTTCGGGCTCTATTGAGCCGGACAGTACCCGAACTCGGCATGGGCGACCAATTTCTATTCATCTGAAAAATGCCACCTCATTCGCTCACACGCACCACAACCATTGCGTCAATGGCTCTCGCTTGCCTGATTGAACACGCGACACAACATGTCACACGAGTTCCCCCGGACCGACTTATTATCGCATGGCACCCAACAGCAGCACACCACGCCCGAGCGAACGTTTCCCTGTCTCGGCTGCCCCGCGCATCGATGACAATAATCTCCGGGCCTTGAGCTGCCTCCGGGCCTTGCGACAATGTCGATTGCGGCGCCGGGGTAGAGGAAAGGGAGTCCAACGAAACATACTTGTATCGATAAGAGATGTGCAGAGGATGGCCTGGTAGACGTGTGTATTTGGACACGGGTCTCGTAGGCGGTTGGGTTTCACTTTTCTCGCGGTCGGATGACTTGTGAGAGGCGACCCCCAACGGTGGACAGCACTCATGGGCGGAGATAAAGCGCACATTATACTTGAGGGGGAAAGAAACCGTAGTTGAAACTCTAGCAGTATCTGCGTCTCCGATCGAGAACGACATTGATGCCTCAGCAGATGTAATACCGTTCCCGTTGGGAGGCCTGTAGTCATCGACAGACAGAGTCAGCCCTTCGATGTTCACATTGGTTGTCCCACTTGGTTCTGGATTCTCCGTTGGGAGTGTAAAGGCCTCTGGTGTGATATCTCCCATGCCTAGCGGTGTCGATTCCATCGCAAGCCTAGCTCCGTGCTTGATTCGAGGCCTGCTCGAGATCTGCGGAACCTCTTCGACTGGGACTTCAAGCCATCCACATTTAAATGCTTCGCGCGTAATCACATCGCGGGGGATCAGGTCGCTGCTGATCCACCCCATGCATGTCTTAGCTCCCGCTGAACTAGACATGACACGTCCTACAACGCATGCTTTGCTCCACCAACTCCGTCCGCCATAAACGAACCCTCCATACAGGTTGCCAATTGAGCCCAGTTGATCCAGAGCATCTGCGTCGTTCTCTAGGAGTGTCGCCATGAGAAGGTGACTGATCCCCTCTCCAGGTATCACGAACCCGGAGAGCCAGGAGCGCGAGATCCAGCCTAAAGTTTTAGACCGTGAATCGCCAGAGCTACGAAGCTTGACGCGTCGGCGGCAGGGGTCTCGTGTGTACATATCCTCCTTGGCCAGTAACATCTCCTTGGATATTTCTTCTCCCCGTCTCCACCTGTCATCGACGACTAAAGCTGGCAGAGTCGGGTTGTTAGGGTCTCCGAGTTTGAGCTCCATGGAAGCTTTCAGTGCAGCCAATTTTGGCCATCCAATGTTTTCTGCGAAGACATACAGACCCTCCAGCTGCTGTCGAACGTATGAAGAGCTCAGTTCACAGTCCCAGGCAGACTGTAGATCCGCAACAGCGGGCGAGCTACGTCGGGTGATGCTTTCAAACAGTGAAAAACGATGGCTTTTCTCATGCGACTTGCTGGCTAAGGGTTTCGAATGTGAGCCACCCGGAGATGGCCCTGATTGTGGCGACGGGCAAGTGATATTGAGACTGTTGAGGAACCGGCGCACAACAACCAGATCCCAGTTCAGCTTCCCTTCTCGCAATTTCTCGAATTGTACAAGCTCGTGTACCGTGATATGTCCACCGTGCGGATCATGCAACATGCCAACGCGAACGAACGCATCCAAGCGAACAAGCAATTCAGCAGAGAGGAGCAGCTGGATCAGCAACCACTTCCGCTCCATCCCGGACTTGATCAAAATATCCCCCGTCACTTTCTCATCACCTGAACTGGGTTCCAGACAGTCCCCATCGCCATGCAGGGAAGCCTCCCATAGGACCTGCCCTGCCCGAAAGCGCCATTCAGGGAGACTGAAATTGATCCATGCTCCTGGGGTTGCCAGCACGATTGCCAAAGTTTTTATCTGGGATTTGACGCTTTGCGGATGACCCTCTATTATGTCGGTAGGTGGAGGGCGAGGGTGAAGGAATTGCGTGTGTAAAATGTCGTGCAACTCGCGCGGACTTTCAATATCTAGAATTGTCTTTGTCGATCCCTCTGTGAGCATTTCATGTCGGAACTTGCGCAGATGTTCTAAGCGTTGCACGAGCGATCGAAGGTTGATGTCTCGTACTCCAATGCGCTTCCAGGCCTCGGGCCCTTCAGAGATGAGTCTATGTCGATCGTACACGGCACCACTTTGGCATTGTGAATACGGTTTGCTCCATCCCTCCACTAAATCGAACGCCACGGTCGCCGGCATGGTTGGGACTTGTTCTAAATATGGAGGGTTCCTTGGCTTTTCGGGACCAGTGTATCGAGTCGCATCAGCCACCGGTAATTCAAGAAAGTGCCGGAAACCGACGGTGCCGGGTTCTTTGCCATTGTTGGACAGCATGTTGGGTACTTCGAAAATCCCGACGTCAAATGTTGCCCTGCTGATAGCGTCCGTTCGGCGCCAGTCAAGGACTTGAATCGGGACGCCGCCTTTGACAGCCCAGTCGTCTGGGAGCGGCAGATGAGCGTGAAGTGTGCTCAGAGTAAAGGATGCATGGGGCAATGGTTTGCGATCCCACATATGTTGGATTACCGGGTTCTGCTCATCCCAGGGGAAGATCACCTGGGGATACCATCGCCGATTCTTGCCTTTCTCCAGAAAAAAGTGAGGTGCCCCAGACAACATTGCCTTGATGTCTTTCGTTGTGACTCTTGATTCCTCCGATGTGCTGGGGTTGGCATCAGGTGAGTTGTCTTTTGATTTGCCCGCCATCTCTAGTCTATATTCGAGAAAATCATAAATATTTCCAGGTGGCGTCGGCTCACGGTGTTCTCCTGCTGCGGGCGAATCGCGCCTAGGGGAGCCACGGGGATCTTTGCTGTCATCTCGTCGAGTACCACTCCCTCGTCGTGATTTGGGCGGCGTGCTCTCCCCAATTGACCTTGACTTTGCTTTTTCCTTTTTTTCGCCATGAGCTAGCTGTTCTATCAACAAATGGACATTCTTACTTGTGTTGCGGTTGGGGAAGGCATGCTCGAACTATCGCTGTGCGTTCGAAATAGACCTCGAAATCCCCCGTTGCTGGTATGGTCATCTTGGCGAGAGTCGAGAATATGTCGATGCGATGATCGCTTTAGTGTCTCGGACTCATCGTGCGCAGTAGAAGCTGCGTCTGAGGAACGACGTCGGCCAAATAGGAAAGACATCAGAACCGGTGAGGATGCAATGATCGCATCTTCTAAATAAATAAAATGTCCTGGTAAGACAAAAGACTAAGAAGTGGAAATGAGAAATAAGCACTATATGTAGAGCGCTGATCTCGGCCCCTCGGCTCGTGTCGTGACCCTGGAAGCGGAAGCGCGGCAAGTGGGCGAGAGCGATACCGAGTTTTTCCCGTAAATGCACGGCTATTGTTGAGATAAATTAATAGATCCAAAATCAAACAGAAAAAATGAAGAGATGGGGAGATTAAGGAGGCTAAGGTGAAATTTGGTAAGTGATGACGTTTGCGAACAAGAGTGGCGAGCATCATATATATTATCCAGCATCTGTCGCTCTACATCCTTTCAAAGGGTAAGACAACGAAATAAGACATGCTTCATTGTATACTCTTAATACCGGATTTGGACAACCAACCAAAAAACCAAAAGACAAAATAGAGAGCACCTTTCAAAAATAGAGCAAGCTATAGAGCTTATCCTTATACACTAGGAGGACTCTATGTGTACAGAGGAAGGTATTTTTGGTCCACCTGGGCACACAGGACTGATTATATTCTCTCATTTGAATCTAGTTCTCACATTATCGTCAACCTCCGGGGTAAGACTCCCAGCGTCAATTGTGCCCTTTTGTTTTTGTTTACGAGTGCTGGTGGAAGAATTCGAGGACGGTCTTATACCCGCGCTCGTATTCCTTGCGCACCTCGGGGTTCTCCAGGTCCGATCGCGCAGCCATCCAGCCGTGGATCTGAGTTGGGAATGTCTCGACGTACTTAGGGACCTTCAAGTTATCCTCAAAGGCCTTGACGTCTTTGGGAGTCTCGTCTTTGGAGGCGAGGAACACCATGGGGATGTTCACGACCTTTGCATCATTGGGGTCGACCATAGCCGGGTGGCACTGCGCGACTGCTTTGAATAGCTTGTTATCAGCACCGGAGGACAGGGTAGCGATCTTGCCGCCCCAGCAGTAGCCCAGGATCGACCAGGACTGGAAATTGCCGCCAGGGGCTAGCTTGTTGCCTTCGGCGACAACGTTGGGGATCTTGGACAGGGTTTGGGGTGGGGCAGCCTTGGTCGAGAAGAAGTTGCCCAGCTTCTCCTTGTGCTCCTGGGTGGTGGGGGGATACCACGAGATGTCGGCGGGGCTACCCTCGAAGAAGTCGGGAATGAACACGCGGTATTTTTGGTCGGTCGAGGTGGCCAGGATGTCGGCACCCTGGATGGTCTGGTCGAAGAAGCCGAAGATGTCTGCATATCACGCAATTGTATCAGTTAATGGTCGGATTGTATTTCTCATGGGGAAGTGAGCGACTGACCATATATGACCAGGATAGCCTTGGTGGCCGATTCTGGGCCGGTGACATCTAGAAGCAATCCCATTAGCTCAATCCATAGAAGTTCGGTGACAGCGAACCCACAGGTCTTCAGGCCATTGATGGTCTTGTATTCTCCCTTGGCCTGGTAGCCCTTGGATACAACAGGGGGGATGCTGTGCACGGTGACGGTCAGCGACGCGTAATTGGGGCATCACAGAATGCAATTGATATTGGGATCACGAACGAGCAGCAGGCTTTGCTGATTCCGGACATGGTGGTAGAGAAGCAATGGAAGGGAGGTGGGTTAAAGTGGAGGGATCTGGTTGCAAGCAACGGTCTTCGGAAGGTCAGAAACGGCGTGTATTTCATTTGGGGTGATCAGATAGGAACATACAAGCTGCTATTGAATTCTGAATTAAAAGTGAAGTTGAAGAAAGTATGGCCTTGGAGGTAGAAAGGAAACTCAAAATGCAAAGGGAAAACATTGAAGTTGTACCCCGCCGGTCGACGTCATCGGAGCAACATTCGGCAATTCAAGGAGATGCAACCCGGTGCAACTAGGAAATCCAAAGTAGGCTATTTAGGTGGTCTTCTATTTTATTGTCGGTTTCTTGACGACTTAGTTTTCCCAAACCTGATCTATCTGGTCTGGTCAGCTTGTAATGCGATCGGGTAATCGATCTATGTGAATATATATGGCCGAGCCGTAGCCGAGGCTTTTATGTCATTTAGATATCAACACGAGCGGACAAGTAGCACTTGGGTTACACGTTCTATTTAGGTAAGATTCGAAAAGCTGGGGTACTGGGTGAGGTGAGCCTGTGTAGCGAAAGACGCACAGGACTTGATAATGTTATTTCCTGCAGTAAACCAAAGAGAAGTATCACAAACGTCACTAGGTCTTGACGAGACCACCTTATTGATACACCCAAGGGTTGCACCGCAGAGACTGTCATACCGGACACCTAGCTTTGTGAGCTTGACGAGAGCCGAAGGGCCATAAGGACAGCAAATTCAAATCAATTGAGTTTTCTTGATAAATAGAGCAACACGATGCGAGAGAAATTGACGTCCCTTCTTAAATTCTGTAC